CAAGGTGCTCAAGGCTTAGTGGAATTCACACCGTTAAATTAAATAGCAGTTTATATATGTACATATAAATGTAAAATAATGTTTGCTTTACCATGCAATGATAGAATTTTCTTCGTGAAGTTTCTTTATTAAATGGTTCAACAAACTGTCCGGCTTCTTTAAGGCCTAGATCTGATTTGCCAGCTGCTTCTCTATCTATTGGAGCCTCATCTGCCAATTGAGCATGGCGGAGAGTACTTCGCAATCGATGACTTTGCATATGAACTGCAAGATTCGAAGGCCTAGTGAAGTACCGATCGCCACAGATAGAACAGCGAAGTCCAGAAGGCTTGTGAGTGTGATCAAGCACTATCGGATCAGAAGAAGCTAATTGCAAAAGTAATAAATGAAAATCAAATAAATAAATGAAGTTGCTGAAAATACATATAATGCCTTAGAGCTTAATGAAATAAGAAAAATGAATGTAAGGTTAGGCTAATGAAGAATATGATGGTTTACCCTTGCATAGGTCCAAATTAATTAGGTCGAATTCCCAATAAAAATGCAATACAACAAAGGGTTCAATAAGGATTTAATTATCCAAAGACTAACGTGTTGCAGAGCATGCATTAGGGTTCTCTGCCAAACAAGTGGGCATAGACGGTGAATATGCTTTGATTTGATCCACTTTATCCAACGAAGAACAAGCATCAGAAAGAGCGAGCGAAGCAGGTGAAATGGGAATATCAAGCCTTGCTGAAGTAAAATCCTAAAATAAATTTTTATCAAAGTTAATGTAAAACTTATAAAAAGCTAACATTTTCAACCAGTTTGGACTCTATCAAGTGAGCCAAATCATCTAGATAATCAGACATTTGACTAGATGAAGTTTGCTTTATCAGGCGGGAATTTGCACTGAAGCCCAGGACTTCGCAAGCACCAGGAGCAATCACATTACTGTGCCCCGGTTCAATAACACAGGAATGTATTGTAGAAGTTTTGGGTTGATGAAGAGAATTATTTAACTCAGTAATGAGAGAAGAGTTCGCCAAGGATGATCCAGAAGGGGAATGACAGGTAATCGCAGT